AAAAAAAAAAAAAAGGTAGCAGAAGTTGAGGTGTGATCAAGTGGTAGAGTTCCAGTCTTGAGCCAAAAAGCCAAAGGAGAGTTGGAGGTCCTGAGTTCCCACACCACAAAACCACCTGGAGGGCTGGCTGGGAGTTCCCGGGGCTGGTGTTGTGATTCGGATCCGGGCCCGGCGTCTGCACAGCGGCGCCCCGCAGCCCTGGACCCAGGCTAGGCCGCTTAGCCGAGGGTAGAGCAGGAGAAACGGCCGGCTCCGGGTCCCAGGCCTCTGGCAGCACAGACGTTCGCTGCTGGGGCCCCGAGCCGAGGTCAGAGCCCAGGGACGAGCAGCCAGGGTTTTCCTTCTAGCGTTCACGGCGTGAGTGCTACGTCCTCCAGCGACCCCACCCCCAGGGCCTCACCACCTGCGCCCCAGGTCCCGCAGCTTTCAGCCCTCAAAGGAGAAGGCGGTTCCCGCAGGCTCGCAGGCAGGCGCCCCGCCGGCCCACCTCACCCCGAGAGCGCCCTGGCGGGTCAGGAGCCCCAGTTCTCCAATCTCTTCACTTTGATCACTGCAGTCAGACATGGAAGCAAAATAGGCCGGCCTGCGATCAAGATGACCTGGAAGGCGGATGGCCGGAAACATCTCAAAAAGGCTCTCCGAGGGACGCTGTCCAAACAGAAATGCGCTTTTTACCTGACGTGTGTAACTGTAACCCCTCCGTACATCACCTTTATAATAACAATAAAAAATTAAAATAAAAAAGAGGTTATCTCAGGTATCACAGCAACATGCTTCAAGAACTTTCACTATGACTCCCAGGTTGTTGGGGGGGGGGGAGGGGAAGGATCATCTGAAAGCCTCCTGAACTCCTGAAGCTCCCGACAGACAGCCTGCCTTCCCCCTGTTGGTGACATCTGTTCTGGAATCTTCCTGGGGTCAGTGTGAGAGGGGTCAGTGTGAGATTCTCCTGTCTCCTCAGCTAACCACTAGCTCCTTGGGGGGAGGGGCGGTGCCGGGCCCCTTCCCCCCCCCCAGCCCCTGAGGATGACAAACCCCTTCCTGCCTGCCCCCAGGTGGGCTGGGACTCCCAGGTCATGGTGTCTCCTCCCCAGGCCAATCTGGAGCCACTGCCCAACCCTTCTCCCCCCTCCACTAGGCCCACACCTGATACTGCAGTCTTAAGCAAGAGATTCAGCCTTCACCTTGGTTTCCTCATTGGAGATGATTCTGGGGCACCCATCCCTTAGACAGATGTTCAGGGCCCCACAGAGGGCCAGCTCAGAAAGGAACTGCCGGCCATCACTTTCCATTGGAAAAGCCCCTAGGGGTCAGCAACTGCCAGCACCTGGTACAAGGCAGTGCCAGCAGTGACCTTCTGACAGTCAAGGTCATGGAGGAGGGTGAGGGACGCTGGAAAGGTACAAAAATCCCTCCAATCCTTGATCTGAATATTAAAGAAGAGGTGAGGATGCCCCTGGATACAGAGATCAAAGGAACCCACACACCCATTCTGGGTGGACCACATCAGCATCCACGAGGTGATTCTGATTCTATTTGTACCCCCTTTTTTGTGAAGGAGGAGTTTATTGGGAGAGTAGTGAACTCCAAGGACAAGAACCTAGGAGTCAGGACGCTGTTCATCCAAGGGCCTATGGAGCTAGGAGAACTTAATGGCTCCCCAAGTTTGAGGACTCCTTAGGGGATAGCAAGGAAAACCAGTGTTAATGACACCAGCCACATACCATGCATGTAAAGATCAGGTGAAAGTTGTCTCAAAAAGCTGCCAGCTAGTAAGAGAAAAACACTAGCAGTTTGTTTGCAGAAAGGCAGGTGTGAGAGACTCAGAAATCAGATCCCTGCCCTTTCTAGACATCTTTATTTCTAGGGTGAACCTCAAAGGGATTTGAAAGTGTAGGATATGGGAGCCCCTGTAACTCTAGGGATGCAAACACAAAGCCATGGTACCTTAGCCATCAGCCTAGGTACCCATGTCCCTGGAACCCTGGATGAGAGAGTACAGTGGGGGGGGGGGGCAGCCAGTAATCCAGTAGCTACATTTGTGGCCTAGGAGTGGAATAGGTAAGTGAGAACAGGCATGTAGGTCACCAGAAATGCCACCTCATTCTTCCTGCCAAGGAGGGACATCCTCTCCCTCACAGTACCCCTTCCCCCACCCCCCTGAGGGGCTTTCCAATCAGTGGATACTCAGCAGCCAAGCAGAGGCAAAGCACTGAGCAGGAGAAGCTCTGGACTCCTGACCATGGCCAGACTTGTCCACTCCAGTTTCATTTATTTTTGGTTTGGTTTGGTTTTGTTTCTTTGTGCCAGTCTTGGGTTGAACTCGTGGCCCAGGTGCTATCCTTGAGCTTCTTGGCCCAAGACTAGGACTCTACAGTACTTGAGTAACAGTTCCACGTCTGGCTTTTTTTTAAAAAGCTAATTGGAGATAAGAGATAAATCTCTTGACCTTTCCTGCCTAGGATAGTTTCAAATCACATCCGCAGATCTCAGGCTCCTGAGTGGCTAGGATTATAGCTTGAGCCACCAGTGCCTAACTCCACTCCAGTTTTAGATCTTCTGGGAAGTCCTGGGTGTTCAAGGAAGACCTTATACTAATTATCCCAGTGATTTGCACGAAAGCAGAGGAGAAGGCATCTAGATGTCAAGGAGGGTGAAGAGCATCTAACCCAATGCTTTTCTTCCTTCAGCCTCAATGTTCATGTATAAAATGGATATGATGGTTTGGTCCATGATAATTTGGTTGCTATGGGGGAGGGAGGGACTGCTAGGTCTAAACTTGGAAAGTCTGGGTGATGGAGTTGGAACACACAAGACCAGGGCAGAGATCCCCTAACTCTTCTTATTCACTCACCCTTTTTCTAGATTCCTGCAGAGTAAAAGACGACAGAGACTAAGAGTAAAACCCAGGCTGCCCTGAAACAGAGGAGGAAGCTGGCTGCACACCACTTTTCTCCCAAATTCCATCAAAATTCCATCTTCACTCCTTGTAGATCTCTATGGAAAGGGATACTCCTAGGCTCTAACTGTGGACAAAAGTCTCCTCCTCCTCCTCTTCTTTTTTCTCATTCTTCCTCCTCCTTCTCTTTTTCCTTCCTCCATCCCTCATCTCCAGCTGCTTCTCCTACAAGCACACATTTACGTCCTAGATAAAAGGAGACCATATCTCACATATGTCATTTTCTAAATCTCTGCTAACCTGGACTTCAGGCTGTGTGTAGGGTTTTATTTCAAGACATAAAATACATCAAACTTGCCACCCTGAGGAAGTATGGTGGACATGCTTGGGATGAGAACTAAGAGCAGAGAAAAGGCAAGGCTATGGGCAGTTACACTTACTTTTTTTCCAAGAGAAATTTTTCCCTGATTATGTCAAAACAGCTACCACAGTGGTGACAGAGAGCTTCAGTTTGAGGCAAGACACCAAAGGGCACTCTAGATTAAATATGAAGAGGTTAAGTGGGCCCACAAAGCAGGAGTCTGGTGGTGGTGAGCCCCATAGGGGAAGCATTTCTCACAAGCTCCTCTACCCCATCTCTCAGCTTTCCTTAGCCAAAAAGATGGCTGGGCACTAAACCCAGGCAGACTTGAAGGTGCATTAGGAGCCTCATTATTCCCCAGTGTGAACACTGGAGTTTTAATTACACACTTGAATTTTCTGGGGAAGAAGACCAAAGATCGTTTTTTTTTTTTTTTCAAAGTAGCAACTTGTTTTCCATTAGGCATTTGTTGTAACAAGTTCTTTCAGGAACATGTTATGACTTTAGGAAGGGATACTTCAGATGGTGGGCACTAACACAATTTTGTGGCTTTTAATTACTATTTTGTTCTTTTAGGGGGTTTCAGAGACTGGCGCCTGGGCATGATTAGACCGTCTGCCCGGCTCCGCAACTTTGCACACCATCCACCAGGTGGCACCACAAAGCTGGCGGTGCCGCAGTATCTTTTGACTTAGAAGTCCAGCAAGGCTAGTGTCCATCACTGTAGGACAAGGGTCTCAATCACCAAAATGTAAAAAGAAAGTCGTCACAGAAATAGCAAAGACAGAGTGGATCAGAGACCTAAGGTACTAAATGTAAATAAGAACTAAGTGCACAAAATGAAACTGCATATTTATTGTTTTTGCCAAGAAGACATGGAGAGATAAATCTATAATTTCACCTATTATTTCATTTCCTTTTCTGTAAAAACGTCGAATTTAAGTAGTATCAGAATGAACTCTGGAAGCTATTTGCTCTGCCTGGTCTTCCTTTCCACTCCCAGGAAGCTCCATGATCACTTTTCTAGTGTCAATTGCCCATCAAATGTACATAATTACTCGGGGCCTTGGTGTGTCAAGGTAAGTACAAGGAAAAGTGATTTCAAATATATTATTAGTAATAATGCCTTTAGATTTATATAGCTTTTCTCTCAAGTAGCAAGGGAAAACGTTTATATATTATCCAATTAATTGTCCTAATATCCCTGTGGGTTGGTTAGGAAGCAGGTATTATTATACATGGTTTACGGATAATTTGAATCAATTGACTGTCAAGTGCCAGACACTTCGAGGAAACGTGGAGATAAAGCTGGTTCCGTTCGCCGGACCGCTTTATTTGATTCATGTGTTCGAAAAGTGACATCGGACATCAAGGCACAAATCACTGGAGTTGGCCCTTGCACACAGAACAGGACAGAAGACCCCACTTCTGCCTCGGGGTGGAAACAGCTACCTTTCCTCTGCCTTCACACCTGCTGTACTGCTGAGTGCCCGACAGCACTCAGTCTCCCCAAACCAGTCTCTTGCCTCCGGCTCTCTTTCCTCGATGGCCCGTGTGCACCCGCCGCCGCCGCCGCCGCCGCAGCCCCACGGCCCGCCAAGTGACACCCGCCCCCCGGCCCTGCGGCCCCGGCCGCCAGGAGCCCCGCGGCCCACTGCTTCTGATTGGCTGTTGCTAGGTGACGTCGCCGGCGCTCACGTGACAAGTGTTAAATGCCCACCCTGCAGGAGCCCGCCTGGCAGACAATCGTAAAGCCGCTTAGGGCTGCTCACCTGCTCCCGCCTCCTGGAGCCCCGACCCGGCCCTGTCACCCCTGCCCCCTCCACTGCCCGCCCCCAGCCTGAGCCCGCGCTGGGCGAGGAGCCGAGAAGGCCGAGAGGCCTGGAGAGGAGGATGCGGCCGGCGGCAGCTGTCCCGAGAGGCGCGTGGTGATCACCTCCCCTGGAGGAGGAGGCGCCAAGACCGTAGCCTCGTTTCTTGTTTTCCTTCCCCCCCAACCCCACCTCCTCGTAATTACATTGGCTGCTGGAAGGGAGCTAGAGAGACTGAGGAGGCGCCTCGCGTCCCCCTCGCGCCCGCCACCCGTGCTCTTTCCCTGTCCCGGGCCAGGATGACTGGAGTCTTTGACAGTCTGGTGGCTGATATGCACTCCACCCAGATCACGGCCTCCAGCACGTACCACCAGCACCAGCAGCCCCCGAGCGGTGGCGGCGCCGGCCCGGGCGGCAGCAGCGGCGGCGGCGGCGGCGGCGGCGGCAGCAGCCTCCACAAGCCCCAGGAGTCGCCGACCCTGCCGGTGTCCACAGCTACCGACAGCAGCTACTACACCAACCAGCAGCACCCGGCGGGAGGCGGCGGCGGGGGCTCGCCCTACGCGCACATGGGTTCCTACCAGTACCACACCAGCGGCCTCAACAACGTCCCGTACTCCGCCAAGAGCAGCTACGACCTGGGCTACACCGCCGCCTACACCTCCTACGCTCCCTACGGGACCAGTTCATCCCCCGCCAACAACGAGCCGGGTGTGTATAAATGCTGGCATCAAGTCGGTCAGTCACTGGGATGGATGGGGTTAACAGGAATGGGGTGAAAGGGGGTGCGGTCCGGAGCCCTTGTCTGGCTCCCCAATTTCCGATCTCCCTCGAGTCGCGCTTTTGTTGTTCTGTGATCAACCTGGTAACCCCGGTGCGTGCTCCCGGGAACTGGTTTTTGTATGCTTCTCCTCTCTCTTCGGCCTGTGCCTGTCCCCACTTCCCCGAGGGCGGTCGCGCCCGTCTGTGCGTGCTGAAGTTGCGCCCGTGAGGCGGGCGACGTCTGCGAGAAACCCGCCTCCCTCCCGGCTCCGGCCAAGTTCCTCCACCCACCCCTGGTCTCGGCGGGAACTCTAGGGCCCGGGCGTTGGGCCGCTCTCACAATTCCGTTTCATTGCAGAGAAGGAAGACCTCGAGCCCGAAATCCGAATCGTGAACGGGAAGCCAAAGAAAGTCCGAAAACCCCGCACCATCTACTCCAGTTTCCAGCTGGCCGCTCTGCAGCGGCGTTTCCAAAAGACTCAGTACCTGGCCCTGCCCGAGCGAGCCGAGCTGGCGGCGTCTCTCGGCCTCACCCAGACTCAGGTGCGGCTCGCTCCCCGAGGGGCCCGCGGCCGGGCTAGCTAGTCTGGGTTACTCGGGAAGCAGGCGCGTTCGAGACAGGTTCTTATAGATAGATTTTTAAACCGAGCGCCGGTGGCTCACGCCTGTAATCTCGGGAGGCTGAGATCCAAGGATTGCGGTTTGAAACCAGCTGGGGCAGAAACATCCGAAAGACTTTTATCTCTAATTAATCTCTCTCTCTCTCTCTCTCTCTCTCTCTCACACACACACACACACACACACACACATACACACACACGCAAGCGCGCGCAAAAAGCCGAAAGTGGAGCTGTGGCTCAAGTGGTAGAGCGCTAGCCTTGAGCAAAAGGAAGCTCAGTGACTGCGCCCAGGCCCTGAGTTCAAGCCCCAGGACTGGCACAAAATTATTTATGTATATTTTAACGTAGTTTAATGGCTTCCTAAGCGCGCGTCTATGCAGCCTAAACTTCTCTAGGCCCAAAATTGAAAATCCCCAAGCGGCCACCGCGTGGGAGGGAAGGAAAAGGGTAGGGAGGTGGGCAGAAATCCGGTATCATGTGGTCCCTGAACTCGGTGGAGATAAAGCAGGTGAAATACTGGGCTTCCGGGCCGGCTCCGGCTGTGACCAAAGCTCAGTAGCACACGCAGTCGCAAACAGAGCACCCACAGCAGCTGTTTGGAGATGATCCCCTCCGAAGGGAGCTGGGAAGCAGCGGAGCCTCCGCGCGCGATCGGCTCGCGCGCCCCCGGGCGCCGCACGTCCACCTCCGGCCGGCGGCCTTTCCTCTGCTCTCGTCCCTCCCGACTCCAGTAACAAGTTCCTCCACTAACGCTTGGGTCCTTTTTCCACAAAGGTCAAAATCTGGTTCCAGAATCGTCGATCCAAGTTCAAGAAGATGTGGAAAAGCGGCGAGATCCCCTCGGAGCAGCACCCTGGGGCCAGCGCTTCGCCACCCTGTGCCTCCCCGCCGGTCTCGGCGCCGGCCTCCTGGGACTTCGGCGCGCCGCCGCGGATGGGGGGCGGCGGCGGCCCGGGCAGCGGAGGCAGCGGCGCCGGGAGCTCCGGCTCCAGCCCCAGCAGCGCGGCCTCGGCTTTTCTGGGCAACTACCCGTGGTATCACCAGGCTTCGGGCTCCACCCCACACCTGCAGGCGACGGCGCCACTGCTGCACCCCACGCAGACCCCGCAGCCGCACCATCACCACCACCACCATCACGGCGGCGGGGGCGCCCCGGTGAGCGCGGGGACGATTTTCTAACCCTTCCCGGGCGACCGCGCCAGAGACTCAAACAGAGACCGGTGATCCTCGATGTTCGCACCCGCCGCCCGCCCCAGGGTCTGTCCTCCCGGCCGGCAGCCGCCGCCGCCCGGCCCTCCCGGAGGTTGCAGCCTGCAGAGGTGGCCGGCCCCAGGCCCCGCGGCCGCACGCACTGCCACCCAGCAGCACGGAACTGGGGAAAGGGAGTCTCTTCGCCCCGGGTTCGTCCTGGGGCAGCTGGACAGCTGCACGGTGAAGGCCGCCCCCCCCCCCCCCCCCCCGAGCCGCATTCGGATCTGAGCCCCGAGCCTCGGCCATTTTGAGCCCGCCTCGGCCTTGCCTCCCCTCCTCTCTCCGCCTGTCCAGGCCGTCCGGCGCCGTCTTCGCCCGGGGGCTCCGCGCCGGGTCTCGGAGAAGGACGCCTGCCCCGCCCGCGAGGCTTCCCCAGCCCTCTGAGGCTCCTTTCTCCTCGCCCGCCTCGGGGCTCAGCCCCGGCCCGCTTTGGTTATTGACCTCCCGGGGTCCTGCTCGCCCGACCTCCCCCCCCCCCGCCCCGTGACCCCGGCGACCCCGCCGCTTTCTTTCTGCCTGGCGGTTCCCAGCCTTCGGAGCCCTCGTCGCTCGCGGGCCTCGCTACCCGCCCCCCAAACGCCCCTTAGCTTGAGCTCTCTCAGCTCTCTCTCTCATCCATCACCAGTGGAGTTTCTTTTATTTTTATTTTTTATTTTTTTAAAAGTTTAGGTGCCTTTGCGGATGACCTCATTTTGATGTTGGAAAAAAATGATTTTTTAATATGTGGACACTGCAAAAATGCGTTTAAATTATCTTTTTTAAAATTTATTCAGGATTATTAGCCTGGGCTTTGACACAGAGTTTGTAAATAAAGTTGTCTGTGCAGATTTTCCCACTGATTTATTTGTATAAACTCATCTTTTCAGACTTTTTTGTAACCCCCTAGTTGTGAACACTGCGGTTTCGCAGTGACCTCGGCAAACCCCTTCGTTTTTTTTTTTTTTAAAAAAAAAAACAAAACCTCAGTTAAATGAAGCTACTGATTTGAATTTGTTTTATCTTCCCCTAAAGCCTTTCAAGTTCTTGAAATGCAAGGCACTTTGGGGCTATTTATTATGAAAGCAACATGCTCTTAATGTTGATTTTACACTATGAAGAGATTATTTAAATAAATTATTGTTTTCATTGGAGTGTGTACTTTTTCCTTGGTGCCAGGGTTCCATCCGTCGGTCAGGCGCTCGGAGCTCGATCGAGCCGCTGCACTAGCTGCGATCTGCACCCCGGCCGCAAGCATCTTAAGGTGCGCCGGGGTCGAGAACCGACGCGCTCCGCTCAAAGCGGCGGCGAAGGCTCAGCTCCGCCCCCGCCTGAAGTTCTCCAGCCCGCCGCTCGGTGACTCATTCTGCGCCGGGCGGCTCCAGCCTCCTCCGGTCAGGCCCCCTCTGGCGCCGGCGCCACCGTCCCGCTCCAAGGCGGCCTCGGCCGCCCCCGCGTCCGCCATGCGGGCCAAGCTGTGCCTTCCAGCCGCCTCCCGGGACCTAGTGTCAGGAGCCTGTGCTCCACCGCATTCTGGGATAAGAACCCCCCCTCACCCCCTGCGTTGGTCCTTCCCCAGAGCTTGTCCTTTGGAAGCTGGCTGAGCCAAGAACTCTGGATTCCCCCTCGGGAGGCACGGTTGACTGCTCGGGGATCCCGGGCAACCCTGTGCACTGCGTTCCAGGAGCGCGCACACACACACAACCACACACTGACATACACCCTCAGGATCACAACTCATGCGCGAGAACAGTGCCGCATGCAGGAGCGCACCCCATGACACGCTTCCACTCACCAAGTCACAATCACACTCTTACACATAAGGGACAAATTCATGCTGCACACTCACACAACCACATACACGCCCATATATTGACTCACAGAGATACACATGCAGCTACACATATACACGTGCAGAAACTGAGGCACTCCATCTTGGGAATGGCATCCTTGTACCTCATACCCTTGGAAGGGAAAGACGCACATACCTTTCAGCTCTGCTTTCCACCATGGCCTCTACACACCTGATTTCCAGCTTTGGAAGTAACCCTATTTTCTGGCAGTCCCTGTGAAAAGCAGGGTAGGTGTGTGAGTTTGAACTAAAAGTACCTTTCCCTAAAAGCACTGGATCCACTGGTTGGAAGCTTCCTGGCTTCAACCACTTGGCTATGTGACCTTGGGAAACCCTCTTAACTTCTCTCTGTTACAGTTGGAAGATGTATAAAATAAGAGAAATAATAACAATTGTTGCTCAGAGTTGTGAGAGAAATAATAACAATTGTTGCTCAGAGTTGTGAGCACCAACTTAATGAACCCTTAATGAGGCAATGATGCCACACAGTGCCTGGCTCATAATAAAAACTAGATAAATGAGCTACTTCCTATTTACCTTCCCTGCACTATCCCAGTGGACCAAATCACTTTGCTTTCGTGATGGATTATGAAATCCAGAGTTACCAGAGGCTTCTCCAACTTCACCTTGAGTGGAAGATCAACATCCTGGGGCCTGGAGAGCTCAGGAGCTTTCTTGCAATGGAATGGCCTCGGTTTGAGATGACATTGGGCACAAGTTAGGGGTCCCCTTGCTGGATTCAGGCCTCTTCTACAGATTATTTAGGACATGTATGTCATTTGTCTTAAACTCATCTCTGCCAGAATAGAGATAAGGCAAGACAAGTTACTTTGTGGGTTTAGTAATATCCTCCTGAGAGGAAACCTGACTTTCCTGGCCAAATTGTTTTGGGGCTTGCTGATTCAAGTCAGATTGACAACTGTATGGTTCAGGGAATTGGGGTGTCTGATTAAAACTAGGCAACTGCACAATCCAGGATCTCTTTGCATTTATTTTTTTCTTTTCTTTTTTCTTGTTGTAGATCATGGGTCTTGAACTCAGGGCCTGGCCACTGTCCCTAAGCACTTTCACTCAAGGCTAGTGCTCTACTAGTTGAGTCATAGCGCCACTATCAGCTTTTTTGTTTGTTTTTAGTTTAGTGGATATAGGAGCCTCACGGACCTTCCTGTTCTGGCTGGTTTCGAACCGCGATCCTCAGATCTCAGCCTCCTGAGTGGCTAGGATTACAGGCTTGAGCCACCGGCGCCAGACTTCTTTGCATTTCTGTAGTTTTCCCATCCAAGGCTGAATGAAACCCGTGGACCTGCGATTCTAGACTTCCCTAAGCAACCCCTGCCCATCAGACACGCATCCCAGTGTCCCATCTCTCCCAGTTCCAAATTCCGTGGGGGTATTTTGAGTTCCAAGCCTGGTGCCAGCCCCCTCCCTGAGATTGACTGTACCCTCCCCTCTTTTGCCCGCCCTCTCTCTCTCCCCCCCTCCCGAAACCAGCGGGGAGAGACGGGGCAGTAAATTGGCTGGTGTCGAGGATCTGCAGCAGACAAGATGATTAAGAGGCCTACGCCGGAGCGCCCGGGGCAGAGAATGTCAGCCCAAGTTGGAATCACGCAACAGGCCTTGGCATGAGCCGAGCCTGGGAGCCGGGAGGGCGGGCGGCTCCTCTCCGGGGTGGGCTGAGGCCCCACAGACTCGCCGGAGTCGCCGAACCTGGCACTTGGCGGCGGCGGGGTCGGACCGGGCCACGACGTGCCTCCCCCGCCCCCCCCCGCGGGAACCCGCAAAACAGAGGGCGGGAGTGTGCTGGGGCCCGGAGCGAGGGGCGTTTCCGCAGACCGGGAGCCGGGCGCAGGGAAGGGATCGCCAGGACGCGCCCACGTCCCAGAAGCAGGGGGAGGGGACGCGGAGGGGTGGGCTGGGGGGGGGGGACAAAGCCCGGCTCCCGGAGGCGGGGGCCGGCTCCAGCCCCGCCGGGGGCGACTCTGGCAAGCCTTTCTCACAGTCTCCCGGGCCGCCCGGAGACGCGGAGCCCTGTGATCAGCCCGCCGCCGCGCAGACACGCTCTCCCCACCCCCACCTCACCCCCACCCCGCGGGTTAAACTGAGCTCCCGAAAGCACGGATGAAAAATGGAAATGGGAAGCAGCGATCCCGACTCCCCTGCACTGGGAAAACAGCCGCGTTCCGAGCACACATAAATCTTCATTGTAATCCCCTTCCATTTGCGCCAGTAAAATATCAGGCCAGAGACAAGATATGACAAGCTCTGGAAGAGAAGAGAAGGGAGGGCGGCCCGCAGGGGGAGGGCTGCCGGGTTCCCTCCGCTCGGCTCCGCGCAGGGCCAAGCCTCGGCACTGGAGTGAAAAGCAGGAGCCGAGTTGGAGCCCGGCGACCCGGCGCTTCCGCCGCCCCCTCCCCTTCCACCTCTGCCTCGCCCTCCCCCGCCCCCCAGCCCCGCCAGGGCTGCGGGGCGCACCTTCCCACTGATCTCTCCTTGGGGTTGCGCTGGCCCAGAACCCCCTTTCATTGCCTAGACTTTCCGCCGTCCGCCTCACAACTCTGGGGATGAGGAGGGCAGAAGGGAGAAACGAGCAGATCCCGGGCCTGATCAGTCCGGCTGCCCGGCGGAGGCTTCCCCTCGGCCTTCCTTCGGGATCTCCCGAGTAAATTGTGAATATCCTCCCAGTGTCAGGAGCTCCGAAACTGGTGGGGCGAGTTTGAGGAAGTGTCAGGTTTAGTGGGGGCGGGGAGAGAGAGACAGAGACAGACAGACAGAGACACGGAGACAGAAACACGGAGGCAGAGCGGCCAGACTGGAGTTTTATTTACAAACAATTCTGGGGGCTTAAGATGCAGGATGGAAGGGGGTGTGTAGGGAAAGAAGCGCCAGAGTGGTCCAGTGGTGCTTTTCTCTGTTGGGAGCCCCCTACTCCCACCCCCCTCCCTGGCCGCCCCCGGAGAACGAGAGCCGGGAGCAAAAGGCTCCCCTGCCTCTCAGGAAGTCCTTGTGGGCAGTGGAAAAGCCCGGGTGCAGCTGCCGCACGGCGGGCACCCCGCTCTGGCTGGTGACATTCCAGCTAGCTCCCTTTCCACCAGGGAACAGCGACCACCAGTGGCCTTCACCTGTTTCAGATGAAAGCCTCCATTGAGAAGGCAGGTACTGATCTCTTCCTCCTATCAACGCAGCAGCCCCTTGGAAATCCCACTTTTGTCTATCTGGGGTCCCAGAAGCAGCCGCGCGGGCTCCGTCCCGGGAGGCACG